CCGGGTGCAGGCGGTGCCGGCGCCCAGCGGCCCCCGCCGCTCCCGCCCCTTTATTGAGGGCGGCCCGGAGCGCGGTGCCGGGGGGGGGGGCGCCGCGGCCCCCGCCCAGCCCGGCCCCCCAAAAAGGGCTTTTCCCACCCGCTCCCCGGGCAGGGGAGGAAAGCGGCTTTTCGGGCTGTTCCCTCCAAAGCGCCGGCCCTGGCTCCCCCGCCGGCTGCAGGGCTCCGGGATGGGGATGAAGCGGGAGGGGCTGGATCCCCGGGCAGGGTCTCTGCTGGCCTTCCCACGGAGACCTCGGTGCGGGGCTGAGCGGGCCCCGGTGAGGCTCAAGGCAGTTTTCCCTCCAGCTTCTCCATCCTCCACGTCCCAGGAACGTGGTGAGCAGCTCCGGGATCTGCCAGCCAGGAGCCGGCTGCACACCTCCCTACATCCCAGGGGAATGTGTCCCCAGGGACCTCAGGGCACCGCCTGGCCCTGGGCAGAGCCGGACGGAGCTGCCACGGGGACCTGAGCCCCTGGTCGCCCGCCAGGTTGGAGCCTGGCTCTGAGCTCCAGCCCCGGGAAGGACGGTGGTGGTGGAGAAGGGCTGCTCCCTACGGCAGCGCAGCTCCCACCAGGCTGCAGGACAGCCGGGCCTTGGCCGGCACCATTCCTGCACCCACAGCTCATGGCACCCATCGCATGGGACCCTAGCGCCCATGGCTCAAGTATGGGGACTGCCCTGGAGCCAGCTCTGGGGCATCCTCCCGCCCTGCTCCGGACACCATCTCCCAGCAGCCACCAGAGCAGACTGGTGGCCGAGACCTACCCCAGAACTGGAGAGCCACCGGCGGAGGGGCTGCAGCCGGTGGGAGGAGGCGAAAGGGAGAGGATGCCCAGCAAAGTGGGCAGGGACCCCACGCTGCCCTGGCCTCACTCCCTGCCCACCCAGCAACTGGCGGCACTGTCCTCTGGGGCTCCTCCTCGGCCCAGGGTGCACCCCTGACCCTCAGGGTGCCCCTCGCCCCCAGGGCGCCCCGTGGGACCACACTGCTCCTTGGGGCACATCGTGCCACACCCCATCCTCCCCGCTGGTCCCTGTGCTCACCTGGGGCTGACCCCGGCTCCCAGCCCCAGCATGTGCCCCACGCCACCTCCCCTCTGTCCCCTGGGTCACCCCGCAGCCCCCTGTCCCCAGCACCCTGCGTACCTGTGCCCTCCTGGCCACCAGCCCAGGGGCTCCCCTCTGGCTCCTGGCGGGGCAGCGGGCAGGTCTGGGGGCATCTTCCTGCGCGCAGCGAGGCGAGCGACAGTGGGGGTCCCTGGGGCCCAGGGCCACCTCACAGCTGGGGGCCCGGGGCAGGGCCACCTGCCACCGAGAGAAGATGCTCCAGGGCTGGCTGCAGGCAACTTTCCCAGGCACACACTGTTCCCAAGCAGGGGAGGAGCAGCGATGCCCCCGCTCTTCTTAAAGGCGCAGCAAGCAGTGCATCCCCTCCTCTTCATTAGCCTTCCTCTCATTAGGCCCCAGCCCTGGCCCCCAAACCTGGCCAGCCGGCTCCAAAGTTCACCATGGCCACAGGTTTCCCCCTGCTTGCCCCAGCTCTGTGGGTCCGGCCGTGGGTCCAGCATCCCCAGGTCAGGATGGTCCCCAAACCCTCCTCCCACCAGGGCTCGCTTAATGAAGGCAGGGCAGCCTGTCCCAATTAGACAAGGGGCTTCGTTAAACAGGGAGCGGAGGGGTCTGCCAAGGGCTCTGTGGCTGGCCCCAGGCCCGGAGCTGGCGGCGGCAGCCCCATGCCGCGGTGCCGGCAGCAGGGCACGGGTGGCCAGGGGTTGCCCCGGCTAACGGGGGCAGCGCTGGAGCGAGCATCGCCCAGTGGGCACCGCAGGCAGAGGCACCGGAGCAGAGATGCCTTGCGGCCATGCTGGGGGCTCTGCCTGCCACCTTGGCCCCCGGGAACGTGGCAGGCACCGGTGTGGGGTGGTCCCCACGCCCCGCTCCCCCGCGGGCAGCCTGCCAGCTGAGGAGCATCTTGACCATCTTGCCAGCAGCATCCCCCTTGCATTGTCACTGGAGGGAGGCACGCAGGGCTGCTGGGTCCCCAAAACGAGAGTGCCTCCCGCTCCGTGGTGTTTCCCAGCTCTCCCTCCGCATACCAGGGCCGGGGAAGGAATCCGCGGCCCCGGGCGCAGGATGGTGCTGCCTCGGCGGAGGGAGAGCACCAGGTGCGAGTGACTCACGCAGCCGCCCCGCGCTGCTGCACGCCAGTCCCTCCGGGAACATCCCAAAAAGCTGTCGGCCCTTTCCCAAGCCTGGCGGGCCAGCAGCCAGGCCACCAGTCCTTATTCCCACAGCCCAGGCCTGGGGTTCCCCATCTCACGGTTGGCTTGGCCCCAAAGCACGTTGACTCCTCTCCACTGATGCTGATGAAAGTTTGCAGGGCTGACCCTAACCCCAGCCCTCGCCCCTGCCTGCCCTGTGCATGCCACCCTGGTCCCCAAATGCCACTCACCAGCTGGCCACACATCCCCGTGGCACGGCCTCTGCTGCCCCGTAAGTCTCAAATCATGAGAAGCCCTAAAACATTTCCCCAGGTCCCACTGGCCCTGGTCCCTGCAGGGCACTGCCCTGGGCTGCAGGCACGGGCGGAGCACCAGCTCCGAGCCCCACGGGGAATCACGCCACCCCCGGGGACGGGAGCCCCCCGGTTTGAGAGTGGGCACATGGGAAGCAGCGGGGCTGAGCCTCTCCCTGCCCTGCGCTTGCCAGGCAGGCGGCCTCACCGCCGCCTTAGTGGGAAACAAGAGGAAAATCTGTTTTCTTCAGCCCCAGGTGAGGTTTCAGCTCCGCATCAGGCGGCAGGAAAGGTGAGTCACGCGGCACGGTGAGACGTGGCAGGGTGAGATGCGTGCCGGGCTGCAGAGCCAGCTGCGGCCACGGTGCTGTGGGTCCTGCGCCCCATCCTCTGCCCGCCGTCTCCACATCCCGCAGCCGCTGCCTTTGGTGCTGATCCAGCACGGGCTGGGATTCAGCACAGCCCTTACAGGATTTTAGTTTCCTGGCCCTACGGCGGTCCAGCAGCACTCCCCACTCCAGCATGGCGTGGGCATCCCCAGCCGGCAGGGATGCACGGGCCAGCTCTGGGGCCGCTGGAAGGGAGCTGCCCCCTCCCCAGGCCCTCTTAAATTTGGGGGCTTTCAGGCAGAGGGGAGCAGCGGGGGGCTGGCGCTGAGGTGGGCGAGGGGAGGAGGAGCTGGCCAGAGCCGGAGGGGGAACCTCGCCTGCCGCAGGGGCCGGTTGGGACACGCTCCAGGAATGTCTCCCAGAGCCAGCCACCGCCGGCTCCCCGCCACGGCACCCAGCCGCCTGCCCCCGCCATCCCAGGAAAGGGGCCCGTGGACCCCCACCACCATCACCAGCCAGCTCGGGGAGAGCACCAGAGGGCCAGCGTCACGCTCACGGTGCGGCCTCAGGGACCCCCGTGCCACCCCACGGGGCTCCCCAGCAAGCCCAGAGGCCGTGAAATGGGCCAGGGTGGGAAACTGGTCACCCCTTACCTCCTGCTGACCTGCTCCGACGGGTCTGGGGTGGGAGACGGCCGTGCCAGCCCTCCAGGCTGCATTTCACAAGGGGAATGGACAGCAGACCCCCAGCTCCTCTCTGCCAGAGGGGACATCTTGCCGCATCCCCAAGTCCTGCTGCTGCCCAAAGCCCCATCCCTGAGGGAAAGGGATGCAAAGTGTCACATCAGGGTGAAGCCATGACTGGCGAGCTGCCCTCTTTGCCCAGCAGCTCCGGGGATGC